TCATATTACTTTTATTAATAAAAATTCTAATATGTTTTATATTTTTATAAGGATAGGAGGGAACAAGATTATTAGAGGGTTACTGAGGTCTACCTTGTGCATGAATCTAGTACAGGGTGATCTGCTTCTCAGTATCTCAGGATTCGAAAAAGTGACCCGAGAGTGACTTTGGGCTGACTTGCAGGATAGGCCCAGGTTGTGAGCTGAGGAACTGGTAACTTTGTTGGGTTGTGAAGGTCAGGAGCCTTAGGCTATGGAAGGAAAGAGAAGGAAAATCAAAGGGTGGGGGCTAGAGAATAGGAAGGGATGGCAAGTTCTTCAGGGTTTCCCCCCAAAACTCAGCTGTTTAGAATCATACAGAAAAGGTGAGGAAAAGCTTGAAATTAACCTACTTTCAAGTTCATAAAGGGATTTTGTGAAGAGAGATTCAGTGGGAGGGAGAAAGAAAGCAGATGAATTTCCAGTTTGTTTTTACCTCTTGTGAGTCCAAAGGGAGGGGTTCCAGAGTGACTGAGCTTGGGGACACTTTAACCCAGGTCCGGAGGGCACAGAGAGCACATTAAGGAAATCAGTTGCCACTGCCTGAGCAATGAGCCTGTTCATTGTTAGATCAAGGCAGCTTCCCCCATCCGGTTACTCTCTCTTCCCTCCTCTCCCACAATCTAAAGACACAGGGAAAATGTTCTGATAAAGAGGCTGTTTTAACCTGAAACAGCAACAACAAAAAATAAATTACATGAAACGAATATTTGCAAGGATGTCTCTCTCACACTAGCTCAGTTCACCGTTCTCTCAGAGGGTTCCCTGAGCAGAGGGAGAAAAGGAAAGAGGAAAAGCAGAGAGACTGAATATTGCTGGCTGGGGTTGATTTCTTTGTCCTGGGCTGGTGTTCTGGAGGGGGAGTGCCTGCCTATAGCTTGGGAGGCAGCATAGCAGGTAGAGAACCTCTGCACCACCTCTGAGGCCTTCCTGCCCTTCACTGTGCTGCTTGGCTAGCCCGTCCTTATCAGTAACCTCCTCGCAGCATTTGGGATGAAAAGCCCTGGGGTCAGCATGAGCAGCAGACATCGACATCTAGATCCAGGAGGAGAGCCCACAGACAGAGTAGGATGCATGAAAGAACATGGGAGACGGCCACAGAAATCAGTCCTTTAAAAGAGCTGACCTGAAAATATGTTTCATGATGTTTCTTTATGTCTTCTCTCGATGCAGTATTTAATATTTTTTTGTATTACTGTGCATCTCAAGTGTTTAATTCTGAAGGCTACATCAAGGAAAATTTCCAGTCTGGGCTCTGGTTTGAAACTTGAGGTGGAGAAAGACTTTTGTAAACCAGTTAACACAATATTTGCAGAGTCCCCTCTGTGTAATGGAGAGACACAGAGCACATAAAGTTCCCACCAAACACAAAACCCCCAGTCTACCTCACAGGAAAGAGGCAGTCCTTTCCCTGAGATGTCACTGCTATCATTGAGCAGGCAGAGAAAAGCATAAAAGCCATCTGCAAAAGAGCCAGCTAGAACCCGGGCAGCTGACCATAACAACTGCCTTTCCTACTGAACTCCTAATATGAACCTGGCATTTCACATGTACTCTCCCTTGTCATCCTCACAATTCTCCAAGGTAAGTACCATTATCCTTATTTTGCAGATGAGGAAAACGTCACTAAGAGGGGTTGAATAACACACCTAGGGTCACACAACTAGAAAGTGGCAGAGCTGAGATTTGAACCCAGATCTTTCTGATATCCGTTATGCACACTACCCTCCACTGGCCAAGCCCATTAAAGAAAAACAATTGGATGAGTCAAACAAAAACACACAAAGCATCATTTTGGCCCAAATAGTATAAATTCTATCATTTCCCCCTCCTGATTAGCTGACTGAAACACACCTAAATTTAAAAGCCAAGAAAATCCCTTGCATGTGTCAGTCACTCACTATCTTCTGTTCCTGGTGGAGCATGGTGTGAGTCAGAAATTTAGAGGGGACTGTTTATTATGTCTTCGCCATGGGAATAGCAATTCAGGCAACTTCCCTGCCTCTAATTCATCAGGATTAGACTGGAAACACACAGTCAACCAAAGATGAGTTTAAAAATCTGTTGCAAAATGACTGCCTCAAATTATTTGTGGTACAAGAAAGGGTATAATAGGATATGTGCTCCTTTTGTGACTATTTTTATATTATGGGGTAACCAATGATTATAGAATATCTTTCTATAGCTCAGAAAGCTCTTATTCTGAGAGTCACATTAGAATGAGGCCTACAGTATATTAAATAAACAGTATTTATATGAAGGGGTCTGTACATGAATATAGGGAGATAAGGGAAATCTCAACATAGCTCTTTCCCACAAGAATGCCAAGGAGGTTTGGTTAATAAAAGCCACTGTCTTACAAAGTGGGTCTCATTGATTCTTGCCCCTCATGGAAAATGCCAAAGACAAATGCTTCTGAATACTGTGTACTGGAAGATGTGAAAATGCAGTTGAAATACTGCAAAACTCAGTTTTCCCAGTGATGGAGTGACTGGCATATAGAAAGGCCTCTGCACTAAGGATTCCAAACCAGGTGACCCTTAGAATTACCAGGCAAATATTTCATGAAGATAATCCCAGGCCCTGCCCTGCCCTACAGAATCAGAAAGCCAATGTATAGAGTGATTGGATATGAAATGTACACATGAATTCTGAGCTGAGAGCTGCTTTCTAAGTAAGAGAGATCATTCACATTTCAAAAAAAAATTATCTCTTTTTCACACTTCCACTTAAACTTTTTCCACTAGTTCTTGCCTTAGTGCAGATTTTTTAAAAAATCAGCTCAGTGAGGTCATGAATGGCTATCATGTTTAAAGTTAAGAGTTGTGCATTGATGTTAAATACTCTTTTAAGGTACCAACTGGGCCATATAAAATAATGGCTTCCTATGTAAATGTCTATGTATTTTCTCAGGGCCTTAGGGAACAAGTGTCTAGTTTACCTACACATTAAACTATCATCAGACAGATTAGTGGGTATACAGAGACAATTACAACTTGAGATTTAAAGGGATAAGGAATTTTCTGTAACATCTAATGAATATGTATAATGAGTGACCCAATGAGTTAGGTCTTTGGGGATAAGATAGATCCTTAATGGGGGGTGGTGCTTTCCAAGATCTTTAGATTTGACAGCCATACAAGTATACAGATATTTAGCAGATGGGTACTCCTTTAGAAAAGACAGCATGCACAGTGGGTAAGAACAGCTTTGAAGTCAAACCAACCATGGTTCAGATCTCACCCCCTCCACTTGGCAACTGTATGATCCCGGGCAGGCCCTCTCCAGGCCTCAGTCTGCAAAAAGGGGGTAATGGTATTACACACTCGATAAGGTCATGGTGCAGATCATATGAAATGATGCATGTAAAACAACACTCAGCACTTTGCCTGACATGTGGTAAGCACTCATAAACATTATCTATTAATAATGAAAACAATAAAAATATTTTTAAAACTGCTCTCCTCTTCAGAATGTTAATGACTATAGAAAAAAGCAGAATGTCAAATTTAGCATTTATAAAACTATTGAATGCTGCCACTAAGATAACTTCTACAGGCCCTATAGCACATCTACAGACTAACCTGGTATTGACAGTGAATGATGGTGTTGGGACTAGCTAATCAGGACAGCTGAGGCCACTTCCCATGTTAGTGTTAATGCAACATTATGCATGGAAAAATGCGATTTGGAATACTTCAGCCATTTTTTGCCCTGATCAAGGTGAGCCCAGTGGGCACACTGGTACCTTTACCATGAGTTACTTAACAGATGCATGCATATAGCTGCTGGCTTTCCTCAGAATCTCATCTCCCTTCTGAATCCTAAGTATCCTCCATCTTCCTTGAAGCTCAAGGTAACTGCTGCTTCAACTTGATATGGAAGGATTTTATCTCACTTAATGATAACTTTTGCTCAGCTGGAGTTCTTACTAAGAGAGTTTCAGCCCCCCCACCCCCATTTCTATATGGCAAGTATGATGGAGCCTTTGACATAAAAAAGTTGAGCCACAGTCAAATGTGAGATCATACTTTTTCATTTATCCTGAACTTTTCTCTTGGCTAAGAGCCATTACTACTTAGGATATTTCATGCTTCTACTCTCACTGCAAGTTGACTTTCTTTGAGCAGTCATTTTTTTTTTTAAAGAAACAATGATTTCATTGCTTCAGATGACTCAGTAGAGATGGTATAAGTCATGCTGGAGTTTGGAAGTGGGGTCTCTAACTTGGCTCCCCACCTGTTTACTCTCTCACTTAGTAATTCACTCCTCAGCCAGCCTTGCAGTCTGTCTGACCAACCACATGCCTTGGAAAAATTGCCGACTATCACCTGTCATAGACCCTAGAAACCCTTGAAGTCATGAATTTTAAGTTTGTTACTGCCAGAGGTATACTACATAGATGGGTAAATTTTCTCAGGTTCTCCCAATTAAATGTTAATTATAGCAAGACTTGCTGGTGGGGTCTAGGAATCCTAAAAGAGTCTAAACAAGAAAACAAAAGGGTATGAAATGAAAACTAATGGTCACTGCCATTAGAACCTCATATTTAGTGCATTCCTATTTCTATTATTTCTGGCTGCACTCCTCCTATGTGCTAGGATGTTGGAAAGTCACTTCAGGACTGGTCCAAAGGGGTCTAATGGGATGAAAGTGTATGAATTTGAGTTCTGACAAAGTTAGCAAGAGTAGCCAGTGATCCTCATCTGGATCCTGGACCTGGTGAGCTCTTCTGAACCTTCAGACCAAGGAATGTCTTACACAACACTCTACTTCCTCTATAGCCTCCTCTTAAAATATGATTGTGTATTTGGCAGGTTGCGCTCTGTGCATTGGGTTACTAGAAATACAGTAGGTTGCACTGATGATTTAACTCTGTTTTCTGTAAAGGGCTACGGGGTCTCATGCAGATTTTTGCAAAGTCATATGCAAATCACAGAGCCCAGCCCTTTTCTTAACAGGATGGCAACCTTGTTCCTCGGTGGCACCTGGGACCTGGAGATCCTTTCTCCACTTACGTTTAGCGCGCAGCCTGGGACTTGTCCCTGCAGCTCACCGGGTTAGCCGTGGCGCCGTTGGGACCTCCCACCAGGACTCCAATCACCCACCTCTCTTGAGACTTCTGTGGCAGGGCTGGTGTGGGGTGCAGCCTTTACTCAGAAGGCAACATGTTCCAAGCAAAATCTTCCCTACTGGGCCAAGGGCTCACCCCTCGGAGCTCCCTTTTTCTCTACTGGGTGCAATTTGAGGTTCCTGAGCTTCTCTCCAAAGTCTAAAATGTGGGACAGTAGGGACCTATGAGAGGCCCCATGGCCCAATGTACTTCCACAGATCTCACTCTGAACAGCAGGTACCCCAGCCCCTCACTGCCCTAGAGGTCTGCAACATGAGTAGACAGGTCAATTAAAGGAACACACTTATCTCTAAAGTTTTTATCCTGGTCGAATATTTCTATTATCAGTGGCCCCCAATCTGGAAAATCCCATAATTCTAATCTAGCTTGCCTCCCCCACATCATAAGAAGGAGAGAGGAAGAAGAGGGATGGTTTATGCTAAAGAAGATGAGGGTTAGTTAACTCTAACCTTTCCCAAACACTGGCAGCAACCACTTCCTCAACAAATGTTCCATTTGCTTCAGTCTTTTCTCTGCTCCCTAACCTCACTCCCTCCTAAGGTCTTTGGTTCAAAGACCACCCTTCCTGCCCCCATTTACTTTAAATTATCCTGTTGAGGGGTAGGTGGAGAGTATTAGAAGGTCTACATGAAACAAACTGGTCACATGTTGGTAATTGTTGAAATTAGATAATGGTACATGGACATTCAATATACCACTCTCTCCACTTTTGTATATGTTTGCAATTTTTCATAATAAAAAATTTTAAGCCCTTCAGCTTCCAAGACACTAAAGGGAGAGCCCCAACCCCCAACACAGAATTTCATGCAAACCCCACACCAAGGCAAGAGGTAGAGATGATTCCATTTCGTATATACATTCATTTTCTAAGTATTTTTTTTTTACATCCCTCTGCTTTATTTTCAATAGACCAAACCTGATTTCTGAGAGGCCCTGAAGTTGCTCTTACTTCCCTGGCTGGGTTATGGGGGAGGGCAGGGTAAAGGGATCCTTAAAAGTTTACACTTCCATGTATCTCACAATCTTATTGTGAGGATGAGACTTGTTCAGTGTTCTGAACTTTTCGAAGGAAATGTGCTCTCAATGCAAAGTGTCATTCTCTGGAATTGCACCTGGCTCAGGAAAGGACTGTCTTTGTACTTGAATTTAAATCCAATGGAGAACCTTAACACGGGCATTTGCATGACTGAGAATTGCTGCTGTCTTTTTTCCGTATGTCACTTTCTTGAATGTGTTCTAATAAAATGATTCTAAAGCAGGCTGTTGATATACAGTGATTTATAAATACTTTCTATTGAGTGCTGAGGCCCTTAATTCTCTGCCAAGAATCCACCCCATCCCACTTTCCAGAAAGATCTATCAAGCTGGGAACAGATGCAGTGAGCATGCATCCAGCATGATGGCGGCACCCCTTCAGTTGCAGTCACTAATAAGAATCGTGTCAACCACAGCAATTTTGTCTTCTGGTTGCCTAGCAACATAATTTGTTTTTCAGAATAAAGATGATCATATGTAGAAGATGAGTGTAGTGGGTGGGAAGACAGAGGGGTCAGGGCAGGAACTGGAGTATAATTCACTCCTCCAGGGAGGGAGTGAGGGGGCAACATGGAGAGAGACAAAGGCAGCTAAGAAGAGAAACAGACAAACTTGTTCTGTTCAGTGGTAGTTCTCAGCAGATCCAAATGATAATCAATTGTTAAATTATATTTACAAAATTTAACCTTTAGATATCAAGCTAATGCAAGTTCCAAATCTCAACAGGCAAACTGAAAACAAAAGGGAGAAAATATATATTTCCAAAGGTAGATATTTTGAGAAACACTTTTTATTCCAATCTTAATGCTCCTTCAGCCGTGACTGACCAAGGAACTCCATGAGCTAGTAACAAATTTAGGTCAACTCTCTGGGAATGGAAGCATTGTTGGAACCCTCACAGCTTATTGACTTCATAAAGGGGAAGACGGGCAGAACCAGACCAGAAGCTGCCATCCACTGAGCACTTTTCTTACACCACGTACTGGGAAGGCTCGTGATGTACTCTTTTAATGTTCACAGCCATCCCAAGAGGCAGGCAGTACTGACTTCATTTTCCAAATGCAGAAACTGAAGCTAAGAGAAGTCAATAACTTGTACAAACTCTTCCTGCAAGAAAATAGCAGATCTGTGATTCAAATTCAGGTCTCTCGTCCCCAAATCCATGCTTGTCCAAGCCACTGGGCTGATTGATGACTCAGGTTCCCAGGTTGGGCTCTCCCTTGTATACCTCCCACAGGTGTTCACGTCAGGGAGCTCTGCTTTTATGTCCTCAGGGTACAGACTGGCATCCTGCTCTTCCTTATGTGTTTGGAGATCCCTGATGGCCAGGGTCTTTGTAGCACACACACATGACCTGTGACTTGGTTGTGTGGAGCACGGTCTGGTGAGGCTGAAATCACTATTTGGTTTTCACAGGGATTTATTTACTTGGCAAATATTTTTCAAGTGCTTCCAAGTGCTGGAAACTATGAAGTGGTGAACAAACAGTCCCTGTTCTCATAGAGCTTACCGGTAAAGGAGACAGATGTTAATCAGGTAACACATAAGTGGATATATAGTTATAACTAGAAGGGACCTTGGAGATCATTGAGATGAGTAGATGAAACTGAGACCCAGATGTGCTATTTGACCAAGCAATTTCTGCACGACCATACAGCAAGTGAGGGACAGAATAAGTGAGATAACTCAAAACCCCTCATTTTCATTCTTATACTTCTTTTCTCACTCTGTTCTGTTGCATACCCATATAATCCCAGGTTGGTTAATCAGGACACTATTCCCATTCCTAGGGAAAACCAGAGAGTACATTCTGAAATGATAATCAAATGATAATCAAACAGTATAGTGAGCTAAATCCGTGAGGATGGCACGTACCAAAGCCTTGTCTGAGATACCTCAGAGCCCAAAGCAAGATCAGAGTGGCAAGGCTTCTGTACCATCGTGACACTCCCCAGTAGGGATGCTCACAGGTGTTTCAGTGTTTGGGTCTGACCCCAGTATTTTCTCATCTCCCAAATTCAGCAGTTGCTCATTCACTTATTCATTCAACAAATAGCTACTGAGTGCCTGCTAGGTGCCAGGCACAGTTCTAGAAGCTGGGGACACAGCAGTGAACAAAACCAATGTACATTCTAGATGTAAGAGATGGAAAGTAAAATAAATAAGTAAATAATAGCAGCATATTAGAAGGTAATAAACACTACAAAGAAAAATAAATCAAGAAAGGAAGGTAGAGAGTATAAGGGGTAGGGATACATTTTTAAGTAGAGTGGTCAGGAAAAAAGACCTTCTGGGGAAAATGAGGTACTGGGTCATCATTATCTAGCCACACACTTCATGGATCCATATATATCATACATAGACATATATATGAATGGCAATAAATACATCTTCTCTTTTTAAGTGTGGTGGACAGTGCTTTTCACATGGTTTAACATGCTACTTTGAACCCAGCTCTGAAACACCAACTGCTTAGTATAGTTTGAAAAGTCCCACAAGCTGCCTCCTACCAGATTCAGGGGGGAAAAAAAGGCTTTCTCATAGCATGTCCCAGTGCCATTTCCTAGCGTTCTCTTTTTTCCTTTGGGGTAATGCAGTCTTCTCAAACTGGAGCATACATCAGAGTCATCTAGAAGGCTTATTAAAACACAGACTGAAGGACCTCACCACCAGAGTGTATGATTCAGCAGATCTGAGATGGACACATGAATTTGCATTTCTAACAAATTCTCAGATAATACTGATGCTTCTGGCTCAGGGACCACACTCTGAGAACCACTAAATTCATATAATTGAAAGGTTTCTGTTAAAATGAAACTGTTACCTGAGAAAGGATGTATTCATTCATTAAGATGCATGGACATCATCAAAGTAGCTATCCTTAAAGAGCAGAATCCTTAAGAAATGGGGCTATTTTTAAAAAACTGGGGTACATTTCAGAAGCCACAGCCCAAGGCCCCAAGCACTGAGGAGTTAGGGCAAGCGACATGTCCTGAGAAGTGTGTCAACAATATTTCATTCTTTGTCCATCAATGCTTGACATTTTTATAACATGTAGTACTCTGTCAAGTCCCTTTCTCTTGACCAGTTAACCCATTAGGCAGGCAGAGCAAGTGTCATTATTACATTTTATAATAAGAAACTTCCGACACAAAGAGGTTATATGGTCTCCCTTGGGCTATCAAGTCTGCGAGTCCCAGCTGCCTTACTCTGAGCTCAGAGTTCTTTCTCCATTAACACTCTTCATAACACTAACTATAGCTTTCTCCGGGGGCATCTACTTCTGGACCGTTAGAATCCAGAACATATAGTTGTTCTTTGCCTTTTGCTCTGTTCAAAATCCCACTTACTGCAAGTAGATTGTCCATATAAGTGATTAACTGTGGCAAGTTCTATGCCCTGCATAAGTTTTCTCTGCCATAAACACATCTCTTTTCTTCTCCTACCAGGTATTGTAGAGAGAAAATGCTAGCTCATTTTATTATTAGCCAAAGCTAGAACTAATCATTGTGAAAGCAAACCTGCTGGGGGAAAAACACACATAATACTTTCCAAAGGCAAATAGAAATGGCATTTTGATTATATGTACCATTGCTTTCATTTCATTAGTAGAGATAATTGAAAGTTTTTTGTATCACTAAAGTACCCAGCAAAATGAAAGTGGATTTTGTTAAATCTGCTGGCTGGTGAATCACATTCTGGGATATTTAAATATATCTCCCACCATAAGAAATGTAAATGAAGGATAAAATACTCCTTCCCATGTCAATAAATATTCTTCTATGGCTTAAAAAAAAAAATACTCCTTCCCAGTACTTGCTGTTCTAGTCATTTTCTCCTCTCCTGCACTGACTCCTCGTGGTGAGAGAGTGAAGTCTCCCATTGAATCTCAGGAAATAAAGGTCACAGCCCAAAGTTTTAGAAGTGTAATTTCTAAAACTACCCTCATTTGTCTCCCAACCCATTGATGTTCTGACATCTTCTTCCTCACGTACTGCCATTGGGACCACTCATTTATTCAATAAACACGTGTTGGCTGCCTACTATGCATCAGACACTATGAAAGCCACCAAACAGACTACAAAAATGAGTTTGAAACAATCCTGTTTTCGAAGAACATGGTATATAATAGAACCACTCTTTAAACCGCATAGAGTCACTCAGGTGTATTCTAAATGTGGGTTATAGTCTCCTAAGAGTTCTTCCCATTTTCATCCTCCATACTCGCTCTATGCTCAAAGAAAGCTAGTTGAGTTTTTTAAGCGTCAACATAAAATAGGTACCATTAGGAAAGAAAATAAACCTTGGGAAGAGAAAAGTAGGACGAAGAAGAAAGACTAGTCCAGAGTTCTGAACACATAAGGAGATAGGTATGAGCAGCCCAAAAGCGTGGTAACCAGGGAGCAGTATTGGATCCAATACCTACTGTAGATATTGTACATGTGGACCATGGAAACTGAATAGATGAGGGTCATAAAGCTTGAATATAAATTCCATATTGATGAAAGATTCAGCATGAATGTTTTTGCTGAGATTTAAACTCCAGCGTGTGCTATGAGAATGACTATCCCTTTAGAAAAAGAATTCATGTTCACTGCAACACATGGACTGAACATATGAGAAAACAGGTTGAGTTTGGGAAGAGAGAGTGGAAGGCAGAGGATTCAGTTAGCTGAGTCAGTATTAGAGGATCCATGAGAAGAACTTCAGACCATAATCCAACAGTGTGTGTGTGCACGCACACGCAAGCACGTGTGCAGGCACATATATATGTGAACACAAATACATGTGCACAGAAAGGGTGTTGAAAGCCTGGAATAAGGATTTTATGAGGATGTGAGTCCTTTAAGTAAATTTCAAATTCATAATCTAGAAAGGAAGACAAGTTTAGAAAACCAAAAGTTAAGGATAAGACTGTAGATCTGGTGACCAAGTGGCTCAAGGAATGTCACATATCTTCCTCCTATTTATGCTGAGCCACCTGTAGGTATAGCAGGTTTCACATTCTCAGCAGCATAAAGGGGCTGCTCAGGCTCTGGCATCACTCTTCTTTAGGGTGGACTTTGTGAATAGTGGAATCCCAAGTCAGGGGTTCAGGGAAGATATGCAGCTGGTGCTCAGATCTGTCTTTGGAAACCTATTTCTACCAGTTCTTCAAACCTGTTCTGTCCCTGGTGGGAGCTTTCTCAACACAGGTGCTATATCCAGGCTTACCGGTGACCAC